GCAACCGATTCTCTGCAGTCGTGACCAGCGTGAGTTAACACTGAGCAAGTAAGCACACATCAGACTCATTGATACATACATGGTAAATCTTTCCTCTATGACGAAATACTATTCAAATCATTGGACATGCAACCATTGCACACGTGAAATTAATAAATGTTCTACCATTTTCCCAATCGCAGTTTCACATGGACTACCTAAAGCTATCGAGTATTGCAATCGTGTGAAACTGACGCATTGGTTAACGACAACTATTGTTCACTAAACTAACAGTCGATTTTAATACACGTGAGATACTCCTGTGTGAATTCTATTATCATATTAAGGTATTGGCGACCGAAATTGTTGCGTGATCACTCAATTGTTAGGCTATTCACTAAAACTATTTGGTCCCACCGAGTTTTAGGATAGTTTTCTTGTAATAGTCCAGGCAATAATGAATACCTGATGTCAACACGTGTGAAAACTTTTAGTGCCTTGTACTGTGAAGCAGGTTAGCCGAATTATTAAAAATAACAACCTAATTATGTCACTATATGCGCGTTGATGTCTTTTAAACGCTTCTTAGCGTTGCGTAGGTGCAGCGTAGCTATGCGTAGAGGCGGCGTAGCTATGCGTAGACGCTGCGTAGCGTTGCGTAGACGCTGTGTAACGTTGCGTGGATGCATAGGTACCGTTAGTAGAACCTGCGCATCGGTTGATACATAATCATATTGTCTATAATATCGAATAAATACGATATTGTAAATCTACATAAATCAATCTATACAAAGATGAAACAGGTACGATCAGTATAATAAAAAGTCCGTGTGACTTTTTTAACAATACGCTTCGTGACTAACTTCGCATGCACACAACGAATAAAAGTTTAATTGGAAACCTGAACTTGAGCATGCTTGATCTATTCGCGATTTCATAATAAGAAATCGGAAATTTAAATTAATATTAAGCATTTTCGTTTAGGAGTTTAGATTCTTCATTACAGTTGAGATAAATATCGTAGTTACATTTTCTTATGTGTTTATTAATTTATCATAATTACATAATTTTGGCATATATCAGAAATGTACCTTTTACTTAATAAGCGTAGCTATGGCCATTACTGAATCCTAATTCGCAAAATGGTCTCAAATGTAATGAGAGCGAGAGAATTCTGCAAATTCTAGGTCTTTGCGTTATGTCATTAAAATTAGTTATGGCAACATTGTATGAAGGTTATGTTGGTTATTTTATTACGACAGGCAGTATGTTTCTCCATGAACCAAGCTCTTGAACTAGACAGTGCACAATGCCAAGAACCATATCAATGTGTTTATTCAGTACATATCTAGAGAATTTATGGAATCTCATTTTTTATTTATTAATGGTAAAATATGTGGTACGGAGTGATTTTTGATACACTTTTTGGAGTAATTAACGGCAGTAAAGTAATAAGTAATTCACGGCAGTTTATAACCATACTGCCACTTCTAGGTCAACAAGAATAGGAATATTGGTACGTAATCCTAGTGTACAATAATATTTGATTTCGTACTTGATCCCCTCTATCCATTACCTTCCAGAAGTAATCTTTTCTGCCCACTACAAAATACACGCTACTCAAAATCTGTGTCAAAAATCTAAAAAGAAATGCTTTATTTCCCACATAATCGAAGCTTTCTCTATTACGCGATCTCATAGACATCCTCCACATTGAACGTAAAGTAGCTCGTAGATAAACAGACAAGAAGGTCATAGTACATCATACTATTTCTTTGTACAAACGACTTCACATCGAACTATACAAAGCCAGTTCATCACAGTGTCGCTTTGTATAATCTCTCTATACATTTGGGGGTCAGCTTATACTGGTTATTAATATCTTGAATACGGTCGTGTGTACTATAATATAACCAAAGCTTTATGTAACCAATACGTAATTGAAATAATAATATTATCTAGCCAAGTACGTATTTAATTGCACTCGTTGACTCACGTTGGTAGGGTTACGAATTTGGTTCCTTAATGGTGTCAGGTTTATGTAGGTCAATTATTTGGATCTATTGAGTTGGTATTTGATAAGTACAGCATTTTGAGTTGGTTTCGTTTGAAAGTAATCATTTGTTCTTTTTTTGTACTGGCACAACTTCTACAACTATTTTTTTGTTAATTATGTTTAACGCACGGAACAATACTTTGTGTGATCCTCAAATTGTTATTTCGGGTCTGGGTGTCACTGTGTATGTGAACTTGTATGTTTAAACGCATCCACGACACAATCGAAAACGTGAGGCAATGTTTTATTAAAAATAAATAAATAAAATTATGTCTATGATGTTTATTTAACATTGTCTATTTTTCCTCATACATTGTGTTTCCATGCTCAACTATGTGACATGCTAAGCTAAGTATCTGTCAGCAAAAAGATTTACCTACATATCAGGTCTATTGACCCAATAAATCAGTCTACACGCGTGGCGTCTTAATCGCCGCGTTTTTCAACTACGGTTTTGGGATAGACGTCAATTTTAATAAAGTTTTATGGTATACAGATACTTAATATCTATTGTTGTAATATGACAATGTCGTTAATAAAAATTTATAAAAAATATAATTTATTGTTTATAATAAGCTTATGTTATTTATTTAAAATCATTTTACTGTCTTATTTGTTGTAATAAGATGGAAGATTAAATAGTACAATCTTTGTACCTACGTTTTATAATTTGTACCTATGTATTGCACATCTTACAGTTACTCTATCACAACCTCTTGAATTATATAATGACATTATGTTACAATAGAATTATAACATGGGCCTAATTAATTAAACAGTGGTCACCATCCCGACGGTTCCAGCAACAATATTGTCGGTCAGCTCGCGTTCGTATTGCGTGTGCGCATCTAAAAGCGTCGCTTGATAGCCGCACGCTTTCTCATTACGCGCCAAATGAATCTCAATCAGTTTGCGCACGAGTTTCAACATACACTCCAAGTGACAATTAGTTGTGTACTATGTACTCGAGAATTAGATGCCACCTTACATGGAGCGTGGTAATTACTTTTTGAATGAATGATTATTTGTATAGCCCAGACAGGCGTTGATTGAATTTAACCAGTTTTAAGTGATTTTAATGACATAACATTACATGTTTATTTGACGAGTGGTTGTTGTAATTCGATCATGTAGATCGTGAGTTCGTGACCTGTAGCACATTGCTGATGTGTAATGATTACCAAGAAGGCTCGTTGCAAAGTTCTTTAATGTTCATCCTAGCCGTTGTTAAGAACCGTTCTTTATTGACCGCAAATTCAACCACAATGTCTTTTTGTAACACACACGAAGGTTACATTTTGCAACAAGAAACACAATAGTCAATTTATTTAGTCTTCTAGCTAAAGTGACACCACTTGATCATTGAAGTCTGGATTTGTGACAGATGTATGTTCCCTGAGGCAGAATAGTGCCGGATATTCGTTTTTTACACGCTTACATCTTATCTTATATCTAGTAACGAGACATTACATACAAAAAAAATATTTATTGATTGACGCAAGAGCAACATAATGATCACAAATCAGTGTCAACGACGTCTAGTTACCATATTTCGACCATTACAATATTTGCCAACTATTGGCCAAAGGGAGCACTATTCTTCACCTTCAAATGTGGCACACTTCCTTGTAGCATAATAAAGAGAATTGGCAAATATACATCGCGGCGGCAGTACTATCACGGAGCATGGAGCATGATGCGACGCGACGTTAAAAGCTCAGAGTTTATGTAAACACGCATGCGTCGGATTCATCTCACGTATTAAATAATAGTTCGCAATACTATCATGTCCCAGATTTTTGTACACTTTTCTTTCATATTTATTACTTGAGGAAGCTAGTCTCTATGACAAACACTCACTTGTATAATTTTACTTTATCTTGAACGTAATCAGACAAGTAGACAGTTAATAGATCTCTAGAATAGAGGAATGATCAAAATTATATAAATTATGGAAAATAAATAAAAAAAGTAAGATTTGAATATGTTTCAAATTGGAATATTCACATATCCACATTCGAAAATTATGGGAAAACAACTTGAAGAATGGAAATGTACATCTTAATAGGGCGCCAAAAGGAGCCTTACATAAAACAGATAAATGAGATATATACACGTAAATATTGTCGTCAAATCTTTGTGTAGATGACGAAGGAGTCCACAAAGCACCAAAGTAATTCTTGCTCTCATCATTTTTCTTCACTACATCATTTGTCTTTAATCATATTGCGAATTTGTTTCGAGTAAGTAGGTACTTATTTCTTTGTAAATCGTATCTATTACATTAATAACGGATAAGATATAAAACTAAGGCAGGATCCGCAAGATATTACAAATACCGCGTGCCAGATACATTTGAAAATGTAATAAATTCGTTAGCAAATCCTTTAACCGAAATCACCTCAAGGATCCTCATTAATGCGCTCCATTTCACAATTCTACTTAAAATTCTAGATAGGCACTAAATGTGCGCACGAGTGTGCAACGATGTTATCGTAACGTTACACTTGAGGCCTGGAAAAGTGCGCACTTTGAGGACGTGGTAATGAAATGACCGACCTTGTACACTCCTCGCCACTGTAATATAAATCGTTGTTAATGAATTGTATGTTTTAGTCTATTTGTTATGTAGCGTAAATTCATATTATTAGGTCCGTTAACCTAGCGCCTAGTCGGCATTCGGTTACGTGAACAGAATTTATTGTTTGAATGCTAAGATGTTAATTGCTTACATAATAATCAATGGAAAACATGAGTCACGTGTTTAAAACATGTAATTACCGTCTTTGTGAATGCGAAAAGTCTCTAAATGATGTATGGGAACGGCAGTATGTCAATGGTTTTTAAGAAGCTATGATAAATTCCATTTTACCTAGTTGACATCAATTCACTTAATGTTAATAAGTATTGTTAAGAAGCGGCCTATTTTCGACCTTCATAACAACCTTTTAATTAACACTTTCAGGTCCAAGTTCGCTACCCATCTCGCAAATCGCATGTGCGTCGTCAGCGCGCCATACCTCCGTCCGTGCCGTTCCCTTGCGAGGACGCGCTCTCCTGGGGCCGTAGTCCTCAGCGGCCTACCTCCGTGCATCGGTTAAGGCCGGGAGACATTGATGTGGTGGCCGCCATCGGGGACTCCTTGGTCGCTGGCAGTGGAGCGCTTGAAGAGTTCGCGTTAGGCGCATTTGTGGAGTATAGGGGTGTTTCCTGGTGTGCAGGTAAGACATTTTATTTTTAACGTACTTTAGGAACAATTGGAACCTTTTCCCATTTAGTTTGTGACTTCACTATCATCAGTGTTTTAACTATTTATCTCTTTTATTAGATCTACATTTAACACGTTGACTGCGTTAGTCAAATCTGATGACTTTCAGTTGGTGCGGCATCGGGTCGCTTATATCCGAAGTTCTTCTTGTCCGTGGTGCGGTGCTGGGTCGAAAAGACCTGTTCGACTTCGGTCTGTTTAAAAGGGATAATCTTAATAGGGATAATGATGAAAGCATTTTTCATGATACTAATATATTGACAGATAAATACTCAATAAAAGGCTGAAGTCGTAGGTAGATGCACTAAATGGTATGCTTGTAAATAAAGGTTTTGTTTGTCGGATCTTTCCGACCCCATACACGCACTAGTTAGCTAAAATGTCGACATATTTTTAGTGTTGTGCATGACTAAAAAAAATATCTATATCGATAAAATATACTCATTTATTACTGAGAACTATTTAATACAAATTAAAAAAAATACAATTATATATTAGAAGTATGGTTTTCGTTAAAACACTCTCGACATAGAGTCTTTCTACATGCGTGACACATTGTTTTAACTTTTTTAACTTTATTTCCGGCTTCTTTGCTACTTAGTGTTTGGCGTAATTTGTCGTAACATCCTGAACAATTCCGTTTTTTGTCACCCATGATTAAGTTATGTAATGTTGGTGATGAATCTATTTCTGGAACCATTCGTGGTTGTTTTAGCGAAGCCTTTGAAAACGTTTGAATTATGTGTTCAACGAACTCTTTCTTAGTCATTTTTTTTTCATGTTTCATGTTGTACACTATCAAGGCATTTATGACAGTCGTTCCGAAAAGCAACTCTAACATTACTTTGCGGTACCATTTAAGGCCACGCCTTAATGTAGAGTAATATGAAGACATCTGATCGCTATAATCAATACCTTTCTTATAACTGTTATAAGTCAGTACGCATTCAGGTTTCAAAATGTCCTCATTTGTTCTTCTTCCCTTTTTTCCAGTATTTTTTAGTGAAGTATCATGACTTTTACACGAAGTCATCATTAAAACGGGACGTTTATCAAACCACTTAATAACTTTTATCCCTCTATTATTCATTTTACCTATAATGCCACCTTTCTTCAATTTAGTGCTGACAACAGATTTAGGTAACCCTTTCCTATTACATCGCAAAGTCCCACAATAGAAAGTTTTCTTGTCAATTAAGGCCTCAGTTAGTCCAACAGAAGAATAAAAGTTGTCTGCTACGACAATACGCCCTTCATTTTCTAAATCTTTTATTAGGTTTAGTACTACATTCTGAGCATGGTTTACTTCTCGTCCTCCGTCGCTCTTTCCAGTGTAAATAATAATGTTAAATGTATAGCCCTCTGGTGTGCAGGCTTTATACAATTTTACTCCATATTTGTGTGATTTATTTTTTATGTATTGACGAAAAATAAGTCTACCTCGCCATGGCACCATCGATTCGTCTACCACTAAAACTTTTCCGGGTTTTAGCACCTTTTTAAATTGGACCAACAACATGTCATATATTTCTCGTATTTTATATAGTTTGTCATTAACAAAATTAGTGCTATCACTGAAGTGCCAAAACTTTAACAATAACAAAAATCTATCTCTGGTCATGAGTGAAGTTATGTATTCATTTCTGTATAATTTATTTTTAGACCAATAGTCGTTTATATGAGGCAATCTCACAAAACCCATCGCCAGCAGAATAGCAAAAAACTTGTGCATTTCATCGGAGTCCGTTGCCTTCCATAAATTAACACGAGATTTTTCAGCGACATTGTTAGACTCGACATACTTACTAGCGTATTTATTTGTTTCATCTACTATTTTATTAATAATATCATCTGTAACAAATAATTTGTAATACTCATCTGGCTCATTGACATTGGAGGGGACGAAAATTTCCACTTTATCTTCAAACTCTTCAAAAGAAAGTGGGCTAACTGTTATATCTTGCCATTCATCATCATTCGTAGCTGAAGATGGGTTTGTATTGTAGCGGGAATTTTCTTCTAAAGAAGTATCTTCAGATGAAGAATGTGTAGGTTCACTAATAGAAATACTAGTAACTTCATTAGAATCACTATCAGAAATTGCATCTATTGTTTGAGGTGTGTTCCTCGGTAGTGGACTTGATGATATTATATTTTTAACGTTGGAGCTTGAGGGTAAGTTTGTATCAGTAGATTTAGGTAGTTTTGTTATAGGATTTATTGTTTTTATTCCTTTTTGTGGTGGAGTTGCTAATAAATTAAACATCTGATCTTCATTAAATGATGAGTTTAGTGATACCATGTTAGATGTCGAAATGTCGCTGAACGACCCACATCTACTTGTTAATGCAGAGGACGTGGTTTTTTCTCCTTCTTTATGTGAGAAGACGTCAACATCACTAGTACGTGAAATTTGCTTTTTACGGTACTGAGGTGTTGAAAAAAGGTTTATTTTATCTTTTGTTGCAGGGTGATTTTTTGTTTCAGTTACTAAGTTGTATGTTGCTGGTTGCTTCTTGTAATTTTTAGGTGTTAAAAAAATGTCGTAATCATCATCGCTGGATATGGGAGAATGACCATCAATTATTGGAGTATCGAAACTTTGATAACCTGGTTGAATAATTTTCTGTTCCAATATTTGTATTCGTTCACTATGGGCTATACTAGTTGATGGTGTGGGTGAATCTGGTGGCTTGGGATTAACAGCTACAGTTTTTAGGACCTGTAATGTGTGACCAGTTGATGGGCTAGTATATACATTATCAGGAATGTTCCGCTTACCCAATATTATTTGCCTTGGGGGACCTTCGCTCACTTTATTTTTCGTTGGTTTCTCACAATTCTTACCGTCACTTGACTTGAATAACATTTTCCTAGATCGTTTCATTTTTCACAATACTTTCTCTCTCATTTGAATAAAAAATCATCTAACCAGAAGAACTTCACTAGCTCTACTAACATGTAATCTAGTGCGGCTATAGGGTCATCGGGTATCGGGTCGTTTAGATCCGATAAACGCACTAGACGCAAAAAATTTTGCTCTAGTCGGCATCGGGTCGAATAGACCCGATGCAATTTTTTGATATATTTACTATTTATTTGAAGAGGCAATTCTAAAACACTAACTGTCTCATTTATATTCATAGGGAGACCAAATATATCTGTCTCGCACCAGCGTTTAGCACAGTAATTTTTACCCCGCACCAGTGAAAAGATGAGCATCGGATATAATAGGCCCGATACCGCACCGAACGTGTTAATAAAATACAAAACCAAGTTCTTGAGATTTAAATCTGCACTACCTGCACGTAACATAAACCATAAAATTTACTATAACATTCAATCAGTTTACGGTCTGTGGTTATTTAGCCATTCCTGACCACAATCATTTCCTGAATGCGCCAATGAAAGTGCACACCATTTATGCTAATGTCATCATAGCTATTAATATTGAATCAGTTCACCTACTTATGAAACAAAATATAAATAGGAACAAACGGAACGTTTGCTTAAATAAACGATTTAGAACACCTCTTTTTATCTTGAAACGATATACATACGAACTACGAAGTTGTTGGGAACAGTCAACGTTAAGACGAAATGGTTTAGACTTATTGCTTATTATACAATCATAGGTAATGATTAAGAACTTCAAGCTACCACCACCAACAATTTATAATTTTCCACAAATCAAACATGCTGTGAGCTACTAATACGGTAGGCTGTAAAGATAGATCTGTTAAGGCACAAGCATTAATTTGTACTAAGGCTTCATCATTAATGTATGACATTAAACTGTCAAACACCAAGCGGTCACCGGTGACCGCAACCTATTGTTCTATAATTGTGTCTATAATGATGGTACTCGACGAGTTAAGCCTTAAAGATTTACCAACTTTGACGTGATTGGTCCAATGCCTGTTAACATGGAATTCATTACACGTGTTACAATGTATTACATAAATGTACTTTGACTTTACATATGTTAATGGCTTGCACATTTCACACTTCCTACATTCTACGTTTCAATCCAATCGTGGACTGAATAGTACGTCATATTAGTTTAGCATGTATAAAAATATAGTTAAGAACTGATTATTGTCGAGGTGTGGAAGTTTCATTAAAAAATAAAGTACTTATTAGATCTAACATAAAGCTAAATGCTAAAGCGTAGCTTCTGTGTTAAAATATGTAAAAACATATTTTGAGTCTTTTTCACGGTGTCAGAATTATTAAGTTAGCTGGCATAATAAATGTCAATTAACAACAATTCCTGGCATAATATGCCAAAACCTGGCGCTTAAAAGTCTGATTAACGATCAAGCAACTTGAAAGCTATATTTAAAATTTGCAGGCGGTGATGCGACATGGCGGGAGTATCTAACATTACCAAATATCCTGAAGGAGTTCAACCCCAACCTGAAGGGGTTCTCCACGGGTACCGGCGAGTGGCTCACCAAGAACGCCAAGTTCAATGTCGCCTTCCCCGTGGCTTCCGACGAGGACGCCTTGAAACAAGCTAAGGTTGTTTTTATATATATGCGTGTATTTATAACTATATATTTCTAATAGATAGATATAAAATAATACTAAGGATTGATTTTAAAATACAACTAAATCCTACCAGGACAATTGTAATGAGATACAACGAGTAAGTACTAACCTTTACTTTAAAAACTCGAATTCGAAATTACTACATTAATAAATAACATAATGTTAATGAAAACCAAGCAACAATACTTACAAGAAGAAGAAGTTTGTACTTACATTATTTGCTCTTCATGTACTTACATACCATTCATACATGTCAAAATTATGCTACATGTGTCTAGCAATCGACCACAAATCTTACACTTAATTACGCATTACTACAATCTTTTAACAAGCAAGTGAATTAAGTTTAATTGTGCGTAACCTTTATTGAACTCGGTCTAAGTTTAAAGGAAATAAATAATAATCACAGCACGTGCTTACACACAGTCTTTACTTATTTGCCAATTTTTACGAGTTTTTTGTTAAACTTGTGGAGCGTGACCCAAACACGCCATTACCACATTTTTGTGTGTCTATAATTAATGACGTTTTGTTAGATAACTTCGTTGTAGGTAAACCAAAGCCCAATGTTCAAAGAACCAGTGTCTTCATTCAGTATTTATGTGAATTTGTTGATAGCTCCAGGTGATTGACGATATGATTTCCTAAAAAAGAAGGAAGCCATTAGTTATCACGTACTTATTTCTTGCTACCATTGCTTCGTTTTGTTTCCTATTAAGAAATACTAGCGATCGTACTTTACCATCAAAACTTCGCAACCTTAGCGAACTGTTCCAAATTACTCGCTTCTTCATTAAAGCCCTTCATAAAGTAATAAGACGTTACAAAAACTAATGAAATGTCAAAATGAATGGTGACCGCTATTAGTGACCCTGATGACATGGGCCTTTGTGTGGAATCAGGCCAACACCTTCACCGCACTATTTGCTAAGCCATTAAACATTAACAAATATATGACAATTATTGTGTCTTCTCTGTACATTATTCTCATATATGTACACTTGCATATTGTCTTCGTAATTTGGAACTAAACTTCTATTTGGAAATGTGCGAACACGAAATGCTTATTTTTCACAACTTTGAATGAAGATTAAATAAATAGTCGTTTTATCGTTTGCTGTTAGTATATGACACAAGTGTTTAATACGTGCAATATTGTATGTTGTAACTTTATGTGGCTTCTTTACTAATTGCAACTTGTTCTCTGTAATAAAAGAGTAATGTTTGATTGATCCTAAGTTACTCTCCTTAATATTAAAAAAATCTGTATAAAAACGTACTGTTTCTAATAATAACAAAACGTAACGTGACTGTTTATTCCCCGAAGGGATCAGCATGTGCATTTTGTGTTAAATGTGTTCCAGACATAAGTACTTTGCCCAACCCAATAATCCAAACTGCACTTTCACAGATCCTGGTAGCTCGAATGCGGTCATCTCCAGAAATCGACATGGAGAACGATTGGAAGATGGTGACGGTGTTCATAGGAGCCAATGATCTGTGCTCGGCGTCCTGTCTCAATCCTGTCTCCTGGTCTCCCGCCGCGCATGCCAAGAAGCTGTCTATAGCATTGGACTATCTACACAAACATCTGCCTAGGACTATTGTTAACTTGGTACCAGTATTAGGTAAGTTTTATAATTATTGCCTATCTATATATATATATCTACACAAATTCTTGAAAAATCATTAACTTTTACTTTCTTTAAGTTTAATTACGTTTACTTATATTTTCTTTAAGTGTCTTCTTTCTTTAATCTTCTACGACTACTATAACTTCATTTCAGTATCCAATAGTACATTTTCAATTTTATTCTGAACTGTCTTCATTATCACAAAGAGATTGGAGAACAATACCTTTTTAGGTCAATGTGTTATCAAGTGTCCCTACACCATATTCAACAAAAGGGAAGCCTATAATCACAGTAAAGTTACATCAATCGTTTTCTGAAATTCAGAATTTCCAACCGTTTGTCGTCATTCATTTACTCTCATTAGCAATTAAACCCAAATACAATTTCTCAAAGTCAAAGTGAAAAGCATTTATTTCAATTAAACCATAATTTGGTACTTTTGAAACGTCAACAAACACAAAATAAATAATAGTCTATCAGTCCGTCCATCAGTGAAGCTAGGTGCTTTTTCCAAAGTGTAGATTCGAATGGAGAAGAAAGAGCAAGAAACTCCATCACCATAAATCTGTATATCTATTCCAGATGTATCAGTATCAATCCGCGTGCTCCGTCCGATGATGTGTCGCCTGATGCACTCGTTGTTCTGCACGTGCTTCCACCAGGGAGGCAACGAGTTCTACGACCTCGTGCGCATGGCCAGGCTCTACCAGAAGGCAGAGACGGCGCTGGTGAGACATCATTACTTTAGTTCGATATAGTGTATATATTTTTGGTTTATATTGTAGGGCTTACTATTTTGTCATGCAATAGTGGTCAAGGCTATAAGCCCCGAGTGTGGCCCAAAACTAGTTGAGTTACTGACATTTTTCTTATGTTGTATATGAAGGTGGTTAATTTAATTCTCTCAGATTGTTTTTGAGTTAAGGTCATTTTCAACCTAATGGTAAAAAGAGGGATGTTTTGTTTATTAACGGCGGAGGATTTGCATTCGGCAACAATATTTTGTCGGCAGTCAAAGACTTAAAGTTTAGCGTATATTGGATATGTTTATCAGTAGCATTGGGGCATCCGAACACATTGAATGGGAGCTACTGTGTTTTTGTTTACCAAACGTTGCCATTGAATAGTGCTAGTCCTAGTGCGATTTTCGTCCAATAGGAAATTAGCTACTATACTGGAAGTTCAATTTTTGACAGCTACAGTGACAAAAAACTTTTTGCTACATTAGTGTCACTTGGTGAGCGAAAAAACGATAGTCCTCATTAGTTTTGATTCATGTGTTTCTTTATCGATTGACAGATAACATCGAGATACTTGACAGAGTAACATGTGTCTAACAAGTGATACAAGCGCCATTATCCTTGCAGGTGGCCAGCGGACGGTACTGGTCAGACGAGCAGTTCTCGGTGGTGGTGCAGCCGTTCATGCGTCTGTTCAACGCGCCGCTGCCGCCGCCCGCGCCGCTGCCGCTCGTCATCCACCAGTCGTACATCACGCACGACTGCTTCCACTTCTCGCAGAAAGGACATGCTCTCGGTATACCTCCTCCAATATTTACATTACAATTCAGATTTAGGTATTCGAAAGGGAGCCAAAGGTGAACCTATTAGACGGAGCATAGCATATTATTGAGCCTTAATCTGATGGATTTTCCAGCCACTTATGAGCCAACAATAAACGCCATTAGTCAAGAAACTGTTGCGGTAGCCGAAACCGGCAAAGAGGAGGATTACGTTACATTAGTCTAGCTTAACAAATTCCAAACAGAGTTATTATTGAGAATATCCCAAAATCTCAAAACTTTGTCTCACACTACTTTTTAGCTTTAACCAGCAATTTCGCCCACGTTACCAGGGTAAAAAGTACTCCGTGGGTGTAGGATTTAGAAGATGAAATTCGAAGAGTTATTTCTTCAAATATCCTATTTTAAAAAGTATACAAATCTATTTAACTAAGAAATGAATTACACAACTCTACGACTAAACATCTTAACTCTAACTATTGTATTAGATTAACCTCGTGAACTTAGATTAAAACAAAAAATACAACATCATTAACAACGTTCCTGACACATTCCAGCGGCGAACCTCCTGTGGAACAACCTTCTGGAGCCCGTGGGCAACAAGTCAGACAACGTGCCTCCGATCCTCCTCCGTTCCTTCCGCTGTCCCTCCCGGAATGCTCCATACTTCTTCACCAGCAAGAACTCCCGCTCCTACCTCCTCACTGGCAAGCAGGACGGAGCTGACGATGTCTTCTTATGATCTTCGTCATGGACCATCAGACACACTAGACTATACCTGCATCACATGGAGGTGTTTCTTAATAGTGTAAAAGATTTCCTTTCTTTTCGTGTTATAGTGTTGTGACTTAAAGATAAATTGTGTTTGAAGATTATCACTTAGTGCTGGTGGAACTAGTGTATGTGTTTCCTAGATGACCTAGTCAAGGATATATGTGTTTCCGGGACAATAAAAATGGACTCTTTGGATGAAGTTACAAGAGGATTCTCAAGAAATATATTGTGGTGATTTTTGTAATTTTCTCAGTGGTAGCACGGAGTCTGGAACTTTGCCCGGTATATGGCAATAGGCTCACCCCCTATTACGTGGGACTCATAACATAAATAGTAAAAAGAGAGTGTTACATTACATTAGGTGCCGTAATGTGCACCTCTACCTACCACTTCGGGAATAAAAGGCTTTATGTTATGTTATGTGTTTTGTAAATGTGTCTGACTGTAAACAAAGTTCAGAAGTTACAAAGACTTCTAATGAAGATCCTGGAAGGAGTTTTAGTACATTAAAGTTACCTTTTCTTAGACAAGGAGCTAATGTCTTAAGGAACTCGAAAATATACTTGTCAAATGTTGTTCTAGACAAAAATGAACAATTTGTACATAGTAATTTAAATAGGTAGGTAAATAATAAATAATTATATAAATGGGCCTGGAATCGATAAGTCCTAAGTTAAATCCTAGTAAATTCATAGGTCACCCACGAAAATCTTTTTAATCATTATTATTCTAATCATGGTACTGGGTGTTCTATTTTCTTCTTTTGATTCTGAATAATGACTTCTAGGTTATTCTGAAAAATCATTACAGTGTCTATTCTAACTTGGACTAGCTTAACTTCAACTTAACAATAACATGTTTTTGTACTATATTCATCATAAGATATATTAAATTAACTATCGCATGCTGCTCAAGACTATGAGCCCCTGGCGTGACTCGAAACTCGTCGAGTTATCTTGACAAACACTTACGTAAGAAAACGCTGTTAAAATTTGTTTATGCACCTTTAGGTACATAATTTAAAACCTTCAATATTCCAAATATTATTAATTTTACCTTAAAACTAAAGAGTACTAATTAAGTTATACTTAACAATAGCTCAATGTTGTGATGTAGTGAATTAAGTGACACTTAGCGGCAGTAGTACCACTTAGTAGTGCCATCGACGTACGCTCTGAACCAAATGTTATTCTAAGACAAGTTACCTAAACTATAATTAAGTTATCGGTCCATGGCTAAGGTATTTTAAGAGGAAATAAATATATAATAAATATATTTTTGTATTTGTTTGTTTTATTTTCTGAAGTAGAGAAAGATACCTAGATGAGTGTTATTGTTGAAGATTTTTATAGCGCCTACTGATTTTGTGGCAGCAATGTCTCATGTAGCGTAAGGGTATTATATTCATAAGGCGGTATTTTATTAATGGTTCAATTTAGAACATCGAATCATAAGGAATAGTTTTTTTAAACCTTGTCCCACACTAGGATTTTTCTTGATTGTCGACGTGGTGAGAACTATAGCTGGACCAGGATGGCAAGTTTTAATTGCGTTTGATTAAACCCTAAAGTATTTGATAGAAATTGGACTTATGTGTCCCAAAAACGTTAACAGCTTGAATAGGTCTCTCGTTTTGTGAGTCCAGATTGAAGATTTGTTTTATTGTCTAACACTTTACTTATAAACGTATTTGATACTTTAAACAATGCTGATTGTAGAAACCACAATTCACCGGACGGCTTGATCGACGAAAATACATTAACCGAAATTAGACGATAGCTTGACAAATTAGACACACCATACAAAATGAAGGCAATAAAAACAAACAATGGTTGATGAGACATAGTTTTCCGATCACAACAAACAATAAACGACATGCGATGTCTATGTATATAATTAACCAGTATATATGTATATATCAGATAGATAGGTACATAGGTAAGGCCGGTGACTTCACGGCCGGGTACCGCCGAACCCGAGCTGGGCAGAGCATGAAATTACGATATTACCATTTACAGGCAGGCATAGATCGTCAACTTTTTAGTTTGTGAGATTTGTGATTAGTTGATTATTGATGAAGATGTTTTGTTTCATTTCATCACCGGCTGAGACAGATTACTACTGACCTCAAGCCTCTTTTACCAAAAGGTTTCATAATATTTGCGTTTAGGAAGCGGGTTGTTGCGAAAATATACATGTTTAACCCATGGATTTAGTTAGTGTGAGTATTTTTAATAAACTATTAAGTATCTATTTATTTCATGACTATGACTAATCAACGAATATCATGTTATCACTGGCTCATTACCTCTGACTTAGCAACAGCTGACATTCAACATAGACAAGAATACAAAACAAAAGCCTATGACACATCGAACTTATGTTTTCAGCCAATAAGAAGATTCCCTTAGATAGTAAACGAAATTTTAAAGTGATCAAATTGAATTTGTTAAGGGCCGATTTTTCAATGCTCAATTAAATATTAACTGAGGAATAACTTTCAATATTTGACAATTCTTCCATACTAAAAACTTTCAAATGTCAATTTTATTCTACAGTTAAGAGTTAACTGATGATTGAATAATCAGCCCTTACCAAAATAAAAGACCGTTAATAGAAGTAGTAATTTTTGGTAGCAAAGATGCTGGAATAGTTAGTAACACATTACTATATCATGGGGCGGTATTGAAACACTGACTAGTCACTGGATCATACGGCACATTCAATTATTGCAGCTATTTTTAGAATCGAACGAAAAAATGACTTAAATTGAATAAACCCCAGATCCAAATATGGCTGCAGTGAGTAAACTACGTCAGTTATCTGTGAAATAACCACAAAGTACTGTGGTAGTCCAGTAGGCGTACAATTAGTACACAACGACCTACAGACGGAGTTTTAAACTACAAACTATACTAAAATATCACCGTATTTATACATGGTGGTTGACAAGTTATAAGCGACTAGCGATTTATGATATTGTATAATCAGTAAGCCCGCCTCGTTGGCCAAGTGGTCAATTGCGACTGCCGGGTAAGGGGTCTCGGGTTGTATTCCCGGGTCGGGCAAAGAATTACTGGGGTTTTTAATAAAAATCTCAGTAGTAGCACGGAGTCTGGAAATGTGCCCGGTATATGGCAAAAGGCTCATCCCCATCATATTACAAGGGACTCATAACATAAATAACATAAAAAAATTGGGTGTTACAATCTACAGTGGCATTAAGTGCCGTAATGTGCACTTCTGCCTACACCTTCGGGGATAAAAAAAGTGATGTTATGTTATGTACATTCAGAATTTATTTTCTTTACAATAACGTGAATCACTTATAGACTCACTTATAAGAAAGATGAAATTGAATCGTCTACATTTCAAAGAGGTGAGCAGAGGTATGCTGAGCGTCCCAGGCAGTTACTATACGCCGTAGTTAAGTTTCTCTTCCATTACTTCTAGACTATTTCTAGGTCGCGGAGAACCTAACGGGTAACCAGGGCTCCGGCTCGACGTGCAGGAGAAGGAACGGGGTGGTTTTTAGTCAGTAAGAGTCTGACACTCCCTCCCGCCTCACCCAGGCGGGAGCAGTCATTGATGATTTTTTTTCCACGCTTAAAAAAAAAACAAGACTATTTCTAGACTGTGTGTTATCATTTACTGTACAAAACCACCAAACGTGACTATACACATGGTCGAAAGCGAGAAATTACATAACGCATTTTATCCCCGCAGGGGTAGACAGAGGACACATTACGGCACTTAATGCCACCGTACAATACAACACCCTCTTTTCACTATTTATGTTATAAATCCCATGTAATAGACTAATAGGGGGTGAGCCTATTGCCATATATACCGGGCACATTTCCAGGCTCCGTGCAACTACTGAGATTTTTAAAAACCCAGTAACACTTTGCCCGTCCCGGGAATCGAAACCGAGACCCCTTGCCCGGCAGTCGCATTTGTAACCACTCGGCCAAAGAGGCAGGGAAAAATGAAACTTAGCAATTTATTATAATATGGAATTACGACGAAGGGTTACAATAGATTCCAGCCAGCTCAAAAACCTCATCTTCAACTTCATGAACACTAGCAATATTACACCAATTCTAATAAATCAGTCAATTCGCTATAATCTTATAACTTGCATTTATTAGTGGGTATCGCACAAACAAGCTCAATCGGTCCGCGGTCCGCACATGGCGGTTGACATCTGCACAATCAATTGATACTTACCAATCTGTATTGTTCAGAAAAACTTTACAGTAAATGGAAGACAGAACAAATCTAGATTTCAGTTCAGTTAGGTACCTATGTTATTATGCGTTAAGATTGAGAGTAACAGTAGAAAAAAACATTGTATGAACACATCTATGAAGGAAGAGAAAGTAGCAGAGTACAGGAGTACTGTTTTTTTCTCAGAAAAACATTTGTAAATTAATAGATAATCCTTGCAAATAAGACTACTATTACAACAACATAAACTGAAACTTATCGATCCAAACAAAAACACGAACTTTAACAAAGCATTTCTGAAAATCTCGTCCCTTCAGGCAATAAAAAATAGACAAATAGGTAAACAAACATAAAACAGCGTATATTTTATTTTTATTAACGTTGCGTGGTTTCAGTAGTACAGCCTTTTAAAGCCTTTCCCCTTCGAACTCGTGACATTTAAAAAACGTAATGAAAACGGTTTGCTGTGTAAAATCAAGTAGATATACTACTTGTAGTGTTAAAGTTATGTCTAAAGGTAGAAACGAAGTCTATGAAATTCAGTGATTATTATTGATTTAATACCCGCTGTTGGCTGAATGTTCGGTTGCTGCGTTACCTTGTGAATTATGATGCTTTCGATTCCTTGTTCGTTGATATTTCAGTCATTTATATGCACGTAGAAAGAAAAAAAACAAAGAAATAAGGGTATCGTTATATTTTCAGATCTCGCCTTTGATTTACGAGTTCAGCGATTATATTTGTGGACTTTATCTAGTTATTAAATTATAGTTTCGCAACACAAAGTAATAGTTTTTCCCAACAGTAGTGATAGCAACTCTTCAATTGGGTCAGAGATTGTAGTGGACGCCTATCTCTAGCCCAACAGGTTAACAGTAGCCTGTAGATAACGATTGCCTGCACCAATGAGTTACAGTTTGGAGCTGCGAAATTAATGGCTAAATGAAAATACTTTACAATCATATGGTATTTATTAGCTCTTGACGAAACCACTCTAGTTACCTCTGAGCCCGTTTTATTTTCTGATTTTGAATGAATACACTTTATTTCTTGTTGTTTTTGACCTACTTGGCAGT